ATATTTCCTCTTTAGAACCCACAGAAAACAATCTCCGATTCCACAGGGGGCTCACACAAAATCGTCTCTCACGACAAGCACAACAAGCAGTGGAATACAGCAGGCCAATTATTTCCCCGACCAAGCTGACTATGGTCGTATGACATTTCTTTTGTTCTTGTGTCATATTGCCTTAGCTATATTAAGTCCGTACATGATCTGTACTGTTGATAAAACGTTAACTTAAATGATAATTAGTCTAGCTGCAGCGTTGATTTTACACGAGTCCTAGCCGATCGGGAAGCGTCAGCACTTTCCTTATTTTCTCGTTTATGGAAAGTGCCGACGGTTCCCGATTGGATTCCTAGCTATAAAAGTATGGTCCATACATACATTGTTTGAATACAAACATGGTGTATAAAAGCTTTTAGATTTTATAGGAATAGTCCACACGGATCTCCTTTTAACACAGGCACAATTTAAACACATCTCCTGATTTTATAGGGATAAGCTGGGGCATGTTTGTTTATGCGGAACAACCGGTATTATACAGGTATGATCCCTACACGTTTACTTATTATACAGGTATAATCCCTACACGTTTACTTATTATACAGGTATGATCTCTACACCTTTACTTATTATACAGGTATGATCCCTACACGTTTCCTTATTATACAGGTATGATCCCTACACGTTTACTTATTATACAGGTATGATCCCTACACATTTACTTATTATACAGGTATGATCCCTACACGTTTCCATATTATACAGGTATGATCTCTACACGTTTCCTTATTATATAGGTATGATCCCTACACGTCTTCTTATTATACAGGTTTGATTCCTACACGATTCGTTATGATACAGGTATGGTACCTACACGTTTACTTATTATACAGGTATGGTCCCTTCACGTTTACCTATTATACAGGTATAATCCCCTACACGTTTCCTTATTATACAGGTATGATCCCCTCCACGTTTTCTTATTATACCGGTATGATCCCTACACGTTTCGTTATTATACTGGTATGGTCCCTACACGTTTCCATATTATACAGGTATGGTCCCTACACGTTTCGTTATGATATTGGTATGGTTCCTACACGTTTCCATATCATACAGGTTTGATCCCTACACGTTTCCTTATTATACAGCTATGATCCCTACACGTTTCCATATTGTACAGGTATGATCTCTACACGTTTCCTTATTATACAGCTATGATCCCTACACGTTTCCATATTGTACAGGTATGATCTCTACACGTTCTCTTACTATACAGGTATGATCCCTACACGTTTCCATATTATACAGGTATGATCCCTACACGTTTTCTTATTATACAGGTATGATTCCTACACGATTCGTTAGGATACAGGTATGGTACCTACACGTTTCCTTATTATACAGGTATGGTCCCTTCACGTTTACTTATTATACAGGTATGATCTCTACACGTTTTCTTATTATACAGGTATGATCCCCTCCACGTTTTCTTATTATACAGGTATGATCCCTACACGTTTCGTTATGATACTGGTATTGTCCCTACACGTTTCCATATCATACAGGTATGATTCCTACACGTTTCCTTATTATACAGGTATGATCCCTACACGTTTCCATATTATAAAGGTATGGTCCCTACACGTTTCCATATCATACAGGTATGATCCCTACACGTTTCCATATTATACAGGTATGATCTCTACACGTTTCCTTATTATACAGGTATGATCCCTACACTTTTCCATATTATACATATATGATCCCTACACGTTTCCTTATTATACAGGTATGATCCCTACATGTTTACTTATTATACAGGTATGATCCCTACACGTTTCCTTATTATGCTTACGTATGGTCCTTACCGTTTCCTGATTTTGGAATTTCTATATTTGTTTAACTATCATCATTTATATCCATAATGATTCACCATCAAAACATGTGTAATGCAACAAATTAAACGGCTCTAAATTGAATAACTGGATTTGAATCGGAAGGTAAATAGATTTAAAAAAACTTTTCAATTCAGCCGGATTACAATGGCGCTGCTCAAGTGTTTACGTAACACGGGGGATACAACGGACCGCCATATTTGCAGTGTCTGTTTTCATTACGGAAAATTAATTAACGAAATGTCCTGTTAGCATTTGGTATGTCTTTGTAATCACAACGTTACACGTTTAATCAATCATGTAAAAAATGTACACACTCAAATGATGGAACCAACTTGATTAAAATATCGAAAGAAGAGTAGAACTTTAAATTATCGATCTTGCATAAAAAGTGATTTTGCATATATTTTTTCATCAGCAACGGTTGTGTAATGGCGGAACACGACAGAAGCAATGCCATTCTGCACAAAGTTATTTATGTTCCATTAAAGGAGTTGAATGAGTTTGCCTTTCATCACATTTTTATATAAAAACTGTGTTTGACACAGGCGGTGTCTAATGAATTAGAGAAAAACTCTAGTTTGACATACGTTTGTGAGATACATCGACTTTAAAAACTTACTACCGATCAATGCAGTTACATCACAATTCTCAATTGGCTACGATGTACAGCAGAACATCTTATAAATCAGCTCTCAAACAAGCTTGAGAACTCCCCTCGGGATATTTCGTGTTAATCCGGAATTATCCAGAATCAAATATGTCCGGATTAACGTATTTCAATCAATAATGCTAAAAACTGCAGTTAGGATTTTCATATATTTCGGAAGTGCTGCCTATTTTGATTGGTCTTTCCAGTGTCCAATCAATCTGAAAAAGTCGTCTGTTTAAGAATATCATTATTACTAATTTTTAATTTTCCAATGGCGATTTCGCCAGGACGAAGAAAAAATAAGAGGGCGACCGGTTTATCCGGACCACTCGCCTAACGGACACCTACGTATTTCTGAACTGACCGACTAACTAGATATTACTGTCGACGATGACATTACTCCGAAAAAAAACCTGTTTTGCGGATATAATTCCATATAAAAGAGGTTCTACTTTACAGACCTGCAAAAGCAATACAAATTGCGTACGATAAAAAGTTGTAATTCGACCGCTGCTAATGGGAATAATGGTTGAATATCGGATTAGTGAAAAAAAAACATATATTATTTCTTGTAATCAGACCTGAACGGTTAAGTAATGGTGTAAGTGCCCTCCGAGGGTTGCGCATCTATGTTTGCACATGTTATTGGAAATGTAATCATGAGAACGCCTACATTCACAAACTACTTATACTGGTTTATTGGTTAAAGCTTTCAGAGAGAGCGAATTTGTCAACAAATCTGGAGGGTTCGTTTCACGAGTTAGGAACTGGAGCGGATATTTATCGGTATTCTGTTATAGCTTTGCCAAACAATGTATTAGTGGCCAGTGGTTTTTGTCAAACAAGGCATGATTTTCCTTGATTTTCACGAGGAAAACGTTCACGTATTGACACCATACACTGTTAAATGGTGTACTTACAATGTACGTTCTGCAAAATATCAAAATATACCACCGAATGCTCTTGCGAAACTCTATAATGAAAGAAATGAACACACATACACGCAACTGTGTTAATTCATCAAACAGAAGCACGTGCTGAAAACCACTACCAGCGTGCTATTTTTTTTTTGTCCTCGCCCCCTCCCCTAGATTAAAACAAAAAAACAAAACAAATAAACACTGATCATGTATATAGTCTACTGACAGAGAATTGGCTTTCCTGAATATGGCGGACAAACTCGGCAAACAGTCAACTTTGCGTTTACCAGGAGATTTTCCTGGTGCAGAAAATGCGTTTATGGAAAGCTCAAAGAAATTTCCTAAGTTACCTTGTCATATTTAAAAGTAATTGCTTTTGTTTTCCTATAAATTGTACTTTTGAAATGAGTTTTAAATGGCATACGCTTATTCTTTTGCTTAAACTTCAAACTTAGGGAACAAAAGGTTTGCTATCGGTCTTAGAGCGACACTCTTAACAAATGGACGTCAAATAAACAGAATTATCAAATAAAAAAATGGGGTCATCTGGACGCAATAGACATCATTTACACTGGAGCGGAAACATGTTCGACAGAAATCGAAATTTCATTTGAAATGTTACAACGTGCGCCAACTAATTTTAAATAAATCTGATTACGTCATCATTAACATCGCTCGTTTCCGATTTGTTTAGACACACGAAATCATGTTCTTCCCAATCTAAAAATTAAAATTTATCATTGAACATGTCTCATTTATCAGCGAGCATAATTCGATTGAAAACTGGTATAATTCTCGCAATACAAATGTCAACAAAAATTGAACAAAGGCATGGTACTTTTTTTTTCACTTTTAAAGCGTAAAATTAAATTGACCGGAAACATTACTTAGAAAAGAACCCCACAACATTTTAAATAATTGTGCAGTATTCAGTGATGTTATTTGTATCTTGTTTTATTATCTTTGAAACATGTTTCACGGTTTTCAGAAAGGCTTTATATTCGGGCCAATATACGCTGCACGCCTCTTCAAAATGCAATATACACAAGTTGTGTGTGATCTTGGTTCAGCTATGTGATACTTATATATATGACTGTCATCAATGGCGCGGTAAGCTTAGCATTTACATGAATGCTAAACTATCGCTGCAAAATCGAATCTGAATCATCTTTGTTTCCCCTTTATGCCTCGACCCCTTCGCATGGTAGTGGGCAGTTAATGCATTGATAATAGCGTACGATATTGGTACATGTCTCTTGCGTACAAATGTGTGTGTATTCGCGAACATAACGCCATTGTATTGTGAAGGTCCAAACCCTCTCACAAAGTCATTACAATGAGGACGAAATTGAATCTAGATTTCGTTTGTGTTCCCCTTTCATGGTAACGTATCCCTTTAACAGACACTGGCGAGAACTAGCAATTGATATCGATCTGGCCTAAGAAGCGTACTGGTGATGGAATGCAAGCGGCCGATCTATAATCATACACAGCTAAGTCAAACCGACCATCCTCGGTCTTAAACTTCACTCCTTCCCCCCCAGAGATATAAGCCACTGGTAAAAGTCATATGATTCAATGATGTAACTCTTTCATCGGTTTTATAAGCTTTCTATTTTTCTTTTTTTTTTCTCTCGACTTTACAACACAATATATTATAGGAATACGCAAAACTAATACTTATCGCCTATATTAAACAAAGTAGAGAGACACAAATGATGACTCGCCAGATGCATGGCTAGCTTGCTGCCTCTAAGCTGCATACAGCTTTCCCCAGTTAACACTATATAGCTCTCTATATAAGCCGGCACACTGCGTTCATCAACACGTGAAATCGGCGATTGTTTATAACAGGTTTTCCTCATAAAGTCACCGATTGTTGGCCTCGCGTTCCTGGAGATCTATAAACCCCCTACATCATTGTTTGCTAAATCTGACTTCCATCCAATTTGCCGAAACGGTTGGGTTTTATTTCAACAAGGTCCTACTTCGAGATTTAGGACCATACATCATATAGACACAGCGATAGACCACGGACGGACTAAGGAGGAAAACCGGAGCCGGTACACAAAACCCGGAGGGATTATCGGATATTAGGCGCACGGATAGTGAAAAGTGACATTTATTAGAATGCTCGTTTTTCTTCTGACTTGTAAGTAACCCCCCAGGAACGTGAGAGAATGGGGGATGAATATTGAGTACCTGTCTGCTTTTATCTCCTGTCTCACCTGAACAGCAGAGGAACGGATGGTATATTGCTTGACAGGTAATGTAGGCAAGGTATTGTCAATAAACCCGCGCCACAATACGATGTTTATATTAAAACGCTGACCTAGCCGTACATATATATATATATATATATATATACAGGTATGTACACAGAGTGTGTGCGTATGTGTGTATGTGTAATGTACTCGCATAAGTGAAGATATTGTGTCAACAAACTTAACACCTAGTAGTGCGCGTTGGAGAATCGTCCTGGACTTGTACGGTAAAGTCCCCCTACTGTCAGTAAATACTTTGACAACGGACTGGCGTGCTTGTGATTTTATTTTGTGATGGACTCCTAACAAAAATACTCGGGACGATATATAAACAGACGGGAAATCTCCAACAGAACCATGGTAAGTATATATAACAAACTTTTATCTTCAGATTTCGGTTTAATCTTTATGTACGATGCAAACAAAAATGGAGATTATTTAAAAAAAAATATACCATGCATGTCTTCATGTGTATGCATGACGGGAGTCTCTGTTGTGTTTACATTACATAGATAAAATGCTCATCCTTTTAAATAAAATTTCTTGTACGATATGTACAAAGAGAGGATTATTTGCGAACATGCCCCGAAGTTGGTAGGATCATGATAGAATCTATAGATAGCGGACAAAAATATACATATACCCCCTAAAACCACAGTGTTTGACAGGCGTGGCACATCTGACGAAAGATCTCCCCGACAGACTCAAAATTGGAATTAGAAACGAAAAAAATGTTTAATTTTCATTCGGAGATAAGAGCACACTATATATCCTGCAATCAATACCTGCATATTAGCTAGCCATAAAGTTCCTACACAAGATTGGTCAACTTGACGCGGTATTGTAAACTACTGTAGCAGGCAGACACTGTTTTCATGTGTAGCTTACTAATCATTTATAGTAACTATTAAAGATTTGTGCTGGTACAGTTATAGACAGGTGACAGGAATTTACGGCTTTACGTTATTTCATACATGTTATATATCTCATCTTGTTTGCGTTTATCTGAATTGTTTATTATGCCTTTCTTAGAGCAATTGCCACATGTAAAATGCATCACTCTGTATATTTATCATGCAGTACTGAAAGGATAGAGAGAGGGAAGGGGAGTGATGCAAGGGGCGAGTGAACATGTCCCCTCCCTCCCCTCGCCCCCCCCCCCTCCCCTCGCCCCACTCCCTATCGCCTCTTCATTTGTACATTATATTATTGATATTTCTAGGATTATAATTGTAGATATTTCCACCTTGTATCTGATGATTAATATTTTTTGAAGTTTGTTGTCGAAGAGTCCCGATAAAAAAAATATCAAAATATGCACGAGCGATATTAATGTCGCGGATGTTAGTTGTCATTATAAATTAGAACGAAACGATACATTTACATTTACGATACGATACTGATAAACCGCAATGTTTAAGGTAATAAAGAATGAATGAACTCTCTTTATGAAAGGAAACGATACAGATTGGTAGGTATTTAAACTATTTATATTGCGTCATACAACAGGCCGTTAATACAACAAAACATTCAGTACCTAAACACGCTATCTCAGCCNGCCCCCGTGGGTCGAGTACCGCAAAAAGTGTTGATCTCAGAGGAATTCATTACTTATCAACTGATCGTATATGATATTAAACGACCGATTTAAATATCTGAAATTGAAAATTACTTGAGAGAGGTGAAAGTATTTATTGGTCTGGAAATTCCACACTCAAGTGAACTTTTGGGTATTAAATTCGTCAATTTCCTAAGGACACCAATCAGTATTTGGGGTGCATGAAGTACAAGCATTGCCAAAATGGCATGAACTGACTTGACATGAAATATCTTAAGTGCCCGTTTCACGTATCGAGAGCAATAACGACTACATTTCGGGTATGAAATTGATTTGAAATGAAATGGCTTACAATAAGCCAAACCATGTATTGTGAACTGAGTGCATATAGCGCGTCTTCTCCATAAGCCTGATATTTGATGAATATGTGAAACGGCATCACATCTCTCACGTCTTAGCCTGTCAACTGTTTCTTTAAAGATGGAATTATATTTAAACACCAATGGCATATAGGATGTAGTTAAATAGCGGGCCCCCGGGCCCCCATTTCGGTTTTAGGAGAGGTCGGGTGATATAGACATCAGACATTTTATTGACGATGTGTCAGGCTCCGTGTTTATACATGCCCAATGTTTACACAAAGCCGAGCCATTATAGTCAGTACGCTGTTGTAGTGTGACAAGAATTTCGTGAAGTACCTTCTCAATTTAGGTGATTTTAACGGTTTAAAAGTCTTAATACCATATTATTCACAAGGTATACGTAAGGCGCAGTAGATATGATAAAAACCCATCGGCCATTCACAATAGAATTATTAATTTGTAAGTTTTGCTTTTTGAGATTGTAGATTATTTGTATTCACACTTGAATTCTATTGTGGTTTATTTTCCGACAAAATGCGTGACTTTGTATCCAACAGCGTAATAAACAATTACAGATGATCCATTACAACTACATGTAAAACAATTCGCGTCTATGGTGAACAATGTAGCAGAAAAGACCTACAATTCAATCCATTTTTTTTTAATAAATACCACACACGTATCCCGCGGTACAATGTGTCAGACTCATATGAAAGCTTGACAGCTATTCGATGTATAGATGTAGGGTAAACGCAGCTGTGCACCGGATCAATTAAAGACTGCATCGGGAAACGGAAACCATATTGGAGCATTGTGAAAAGCTGGCTCTGTCAATATTTAGATACCGTGTATAGCCAGGTCTAACAAAGGAACTTCACTGCCCCTAATCACAACATCATGACTTCATTGAACAACATAATCCCTCTTGATATTTATCTTCCGTGAAATGTACCGGAAGTAGGTGGATTGGAAAACCGATCGGCCGCCATATGCAACAGTTTCTCAAGATTAGGACCTTAAATTGGTATTCAGTGAATTGATATTTGAAAAATCGGCTACCAGACCGCGAAAGTCCACATTTATCTAAGTCACAAGTGTACAATTGAACGTAGGTAATAAACAGGATAACATTTATTTAAAAGCTCACGTTTGTTTCCAAATATGCCGGATCAGGCAACTTTATACGGAGCAGACTGGAAATCCGACCTTTGTCAGCAAACCCTGGTATCCCGACACGTTGACAGCAACCCCAAGCTCCCGCCCCTTGTCAGCTATTCCGTGCTCTCTTTCCTTAACTCTAACTTGAAATGTTGACGCTTTTAAATATTTTAGGGAATTATATTCTGTCATATCCCCGTCCGTCACAGGGGTGCACTGGGTTTTGCTATTTGAGAGGGAGTGCTGGTCTGGATGTCGTGCAATTGCACACAGTACACAAATGTATTACATTACGCTTCAGACTATCATCGATATCTCATTTTAATTTTGTTTATATCCCATATATTCTAATCCAGTCTCTGATATCCTCGGTCACCGCACCAATCGATTTACAATCACCCAGTTTGTGCTTACAACCCTCTTGGTGTTATGGAAGCCAGGACGTAAATGATTAGGACTGGTGACAAGTGTCGTTGTGTGTACGACATCCTAGCATCGGTCTATTATCCCTCTCTATTTGTTTTCTCTGGGTTGACAGTATTTCAAAGTGGTAACCAAGTTTAAACAAATATTCACGTAGCCTGTGTATTTAGGAAAAAATCACTCTGATGTCAGTTTCCTTATGCGCTTATTGTTTCTTAGTAGCAAATAATTAAAAAAAAAAATATCAGTTTTTTTCTTGTTTATTCTTTGGACGACCCCAAAATGGAGAGTAAGTGAAAAATCGGTAATTGATAAACTGTAACAACGATAATCGTCAAATAAATGAAACCAATTAATATATATTATAGTCAGGCTAACAACGATAATCGTTAGATAAATAAAAACAACTATGATATATTATAGTCAGGCTAACAACGATAATCGTTGGATAAATAAAAACAATTATTATATATTATAGTCAGGCTAACAACGATAATCGTGAGTAAATAAAAACAATTATATTATAGTCAGGCTAACAACGATAATTGTTAGATAAATAAAAACAATTATATTATAGTCAGGCTAACAACGATAATCGTTAGATAAATAAAAACAATTATGATATATTATAGTCAGGCTAACAACGATAATCGTTAGATAAATAAAACCAAATTAAAGTCAGGTTAGGAACGATAATAGATAAATAAAACAAATCAAAATATATAGTAGTCAGGTTTACAACGAAAATCGTCAGATAAAAAAAAAATACATCGCAATACGCTTAGACACATTTATTATTATTGGGGAAAATGTTAATTGAATTTAGTAAAATCAAACCAAAACAATTAGACGACGGTGTGAAAAGTCTTTTTAAATGACCCAGAACATTAAACGGCGTTTTTGAATAAACAGAAGCTTTGCTATTTTGTTAATAGGTGAGGTGAGTTGCTGGAATAAAACATATCATAATATATTCGTGTCATATTTTATCTAGCTTGAATGTACACTAGTGTTAAGTACTCCTCTCCGCTGATTTTTCGATTGCCCGATCACGTGGGTTTTCTTCGGGTACTCTGGTTTCCCCTCACACAAAGACCCTCCGCGCGCTAACATCCAGGCCAACAAGAGTGATTGATGAAAGAAGAAAGAATTTGTTTCATAATTGTTTTAAAAGAAATAAAATTAGGTTGTGATTGAACTACGTTAGTTTCTCTGCAAGGCCTTGAAACTAGTCAACGATCGTTTTGTAAGATTCACTGTAGTGTTGCTCTGAAATGACTTCCAACCAATCAGTCAATACTTTTAAGTCACGAGATTTACTGTAAAATTTAGTTCATAAATTACCTAAAACCAGTCAACAGCCGTAAAAGAACCATGTTGTAATTGAACCACGATTTTTTATTATTACTCTAAAATACCTTGAAAACAGCCAGAAATCTTTTAGGCGTTAGAGTATGTCGAGAACCAGATTGTGATGGTGACGAGAGGTCTGCTGAAGAGCAGCTCTGAACTGACCCCGAGCTGGAGTTTTTGTTTATTTTGGTAATGACACGTACGCTAAATCAATTATTTACTATAGAGGTATAATAAATCCAGCAAGAAGGTAAATATAGTCTCTCTCTCTGCTAAATACATTTCATACAAAGCGTATCGGTATTTACAATAACACATTGACCTGAAATCACTAAATACTACAAAGTCGGATGCATAAACGTTCTTAAACCACCGCCATTAACGTCTTGAAACTAGAATTCAGATACACAGTGTACGTTTAACCCTTTCACCACTGTAGACCATAATGGACGCATCCAGATCAGTGCATGGTAGAGTCTACTTGAGTTAGATAGGGGTGAAAGGGTTAAGGCAGACTAACGTCCCTCCTATCATAATAACCAGTGTTTTTGTATTGAATAAAGAATCTAGAGAATTAAACCTCAACCAGAATTTTAACGATTCATCTTTCATGTTTGTTAATTGCTTATGCATATTGCAATAGCAAACATCTCAAGCTAAGGACCACCAACGAGTTTTTGTTTCTGTAGTAAACCAACCTACACTTTGACTAACCAACTTCCTGTTTACCATGCATTCTTTGCGTGTCTGTGTAGACAATCACATGATCATGTTCAGTTACTGTTTTGAAGCATCTTTGATAGGACAACTTGTGTGAAAAATATGGATATGCTACTGCCGTTGATCATTATGTCATACTAACTCAAGGTCTCAATGATAGCTTCATGATAGGGACTTAAGCAGGTCTATCAAATTAACAATTCAGTATAAGGAGGTACGATAATATTTCTATATATATATATTATAAAAAGAAAAATTCTCAACAACGAGTCTTTCTTTTTATAATATTTCTTCGTCCGTAAGGATAATTTTTTTCTGATTTATAATACATATATATATATTTTTGTCGCTCATTGTAAACCTACTGTCACAATCACAACCAATTCATGTCTTCGAAAATTTAATTAGATGTCAACTTTTATTTTTGAGAAAAGCATTCTTGCATGTTTCTGCTACATACATACATCACTTCGAACATTTCGTTATTGTATTTTTGAGGCTTTATTTGTGTTAGCATATATAACATATCCGGGGTAGGTTCTGTACTAGTTTATGTTTTCAAAGTTACATATTTTCCGTTTTCTTTGATACAAAATGTATGCACTTCCGGTACATGTGTTGTATTTGTCTACGATAGGATGCGATAACATACGTACTTCCGGTTTTCTAATATTCTTTGTTTCTGTTACGTGTCACTTAACAATATTTCATTTGCAAAAAAAATGTAAACGTTCAAAAAAGGAACAAGCACAAGAAATGAACAGAGGGATTACCTAACACAGATTAAACTTACGCAAATAATTCAAACAGTTCGTTTTGAAATGATTCCTGTATTTCTGGCAACTCCACGGGACTTCACGTGTCTTGACTAAAAGGCATGCTGCTGACATCGAGGTCGGTCAGTGCAGGTCTGTTGTTACATGCACACCAGCACGCTCTTTGTGGCATAAATTACGGGGCGACGTAATATGTAGATCAATGAAAGAAGGCTAAAGTAACCAATAAATCCCCCGAAGCGAAAGCAGGCTGCTCACTTTCTCTCACGAACACTTTTTTATCGACTAATTAGGACGTTGATTATGTGATTTTAGACATAGAACCCTACTTAACTAACACTCGAAGCACAATCGATTACACAGACCGTACATTTCCCTCTTGGTTTTAAAATAAACATTTCTGTTGGGCAGTCCAGAGGGCAGGGACAGAGGCACGAGAGAAGAGGCCGGTTAGAACAAGCTAGAGTAATGCTGCTCCATTATTAGGTAGAAACAGTTGATTGATGACGGACACTCCTGTTTTCGTCTCAGTGCTTATCTTTCTTTATATAGCCACAGATAGATATTTTAAGGAATCTTTATAGATATACGGTCTATATATATTTACCTTAAACGGTACCCGCCAAGAATCGGTACGAGGCACATAATGTAGGAACTCTGATACCGTTGCGCCTAACTTCCAATAATAGCTCAAAGACTGACAAATCTACGAGGGCACGGGATAGGGGTCTGAGTTTAAACTCACTTATGCCACGAGCATTTGTGTAAGAGAACGGAGAATATCGAAGTTTCCCACTGGTGACAATCTACATGACTCATAATTCATTTTTTTTCACCAGCAACTACACATGTTCCGTATCAAATATTATGTTTATTCCATATATCCCATATCCTTATTTTTTCTTTGAATATGTATTTTTTATAACCAGAGATCTTATGGCAATAAAATCTTATCCTTACCGACTGTATGGAGATCATACGCACACACAACAGAACTAATTTGAGAATTCAATTTATTATACATTCAATATATCAGAGAAGTGTTAACTGCTTCAACCAGACAACTGCAATTAGACTCCCAAGTGCCACTTTTTGCTTGTCAAGAGCTGTACATCAAAAACATATTACCTTATACTTCACTTATAAGTATGCTTGCTGTTTTTCAGTACGGTTTCGTAAACTACGCCCTCGAGCTTTTGGTTGTCCGGAATTTCGGCGAGGAGACATGGGAGAAAATCAAGTGAGTTATTTTTTTTTCATTCTATGACAAAATACATTAAGCTGAGAATATTATGCGGATGATAATGAGAAATGTTTTGTACGGATTATCCTGGTTTTCCATTAGTAGAACATGTATCAATTGTACTGTGTCTGTGCGTGTCGTCTGCGTACCCTAATCCTTTATATATATATATACCAGTAACAAGAAGTATCTACATAGACGTTTTGAGCTTGGCATTTATACACGTTCTCTCCCACAGTGATCGGTGTTTTAAGTCTTAAAAAAGGCCGAAAGATGTATGAGGATTGTTCAAATGACGAATGAAGAAATGATGGATGTATGGCTGAACACGAGATTAATCGAAAAAACACGTACATGTATATGCATAAAAAGCGTGTTATACCTCGATTGGATAAGATTTACTAGTCCCATCTTTACATTCCCCTCTAAATCTTACATGAGAACAATACATACATCTATATAGACAAAAATAGTAAAAAAACTTCCTTGAATACAAATGTGTGTAAAAACTGCTTCCTTAAAATCAGAGAGGAAGGAAAGGACAACACATGTTGAGGCGGTTTTATATCATGAAACATGTATATTCAAACAACGTGTTTTCGGATCAATGTTGAATCATAAAATTATCTACACAATTAATTCACATATCGCCGGAATAGGGTTGTCTCCCCTTGGTATGTATCCCTGTCGGCTGATGTAATATCACAGTGAGGTGGCGCTGTCTGTTTGCGGCAGAAAGATATACGGCTACGGTATCCACAGATGGTGGGGTCATTCTAGGGCTTCTCCAGAGAGCCATCCTACTGAAGTGTCCTAATCTATTTATGTAGATGACTCACCGCCATTTCACATTCTTCTGACAACGGGCTACCCGAGAGGGTACTCGATAGATAGTTCCTGATGTGGCTTCAGGAAAATTGGACATTATTGAGTCACGATGATCTAACACAAACACACCAGGCAATGACTAGGATATCAAAGGTCTTGTAAAGATGCTTTTTCGTTGACGTTGGATAACCTAAATTATTATTTTTTTACTGGAAAAAAAATCCGGAGTAGAAAATACTGTAATGAAAACACTACAGGAACTGATTGGTGACCCCGTGTAACCTCCCTGTCTGCCTGCTGTCATAAGAGGCTACTCACTTTGGGACTCCTGCAGACTCGGATGATTTCTCACGCGTCTTTTGTTAAGGCGACATCGAAAAATATCCCAAAACAAAACGGAAAACAAAACACACAACTGATCTGCTGCCTCCACTGCCTCCACTGCAACACTTGGGATCCGTTTCTTTTCATTTCTTACTTCTCTTCTCAATCTTTCCGACAGTGTCTCCCTAGGTACCCGTCTTTATACAATATGACCTAAGCAGTTGAGAGGACGTTAAACCCCAATACACGAAAACAAAAATACAGCAAGTAGATGATGGAGCACTTCAGGTGCCTCATTATGTCAAAGTACAATTTCCCCGGGATAACCAGGACACGATTACATTGCCCTTCACTGTGTCACCTGATTTTGGCTACGAGCCCGCCATCACCAGCAAGATATATCAAAGGAGACACCACCGAAAAAATGTGGGCAAGTAAGAAAAGCAAATATTGAATTGCCAAGTGCCGCAATGGAAGCAGCAGATCACTGAATTTTGTTCCTCCAATGTCCCCTTAGCAGACGACACAAAAAACCCGGATTGCGCAGATGTCCTTTTTACATGTAGTAGTGTCTCATGATGCTACAACAGGCCAGGGTCCGTATTCATGAAACCGTTCTAAAGCTCAAGCATGGATTTTGTGCTCAAGCCAAATTTCTCGTTTACGTTTTAAATTAATAAACAAGTCTTATTTCGTCAATGATTTGGAAAGAAATTGAAGAGACTTAAGGCAAAATACTGTTTTTAATGTTCACATTTGACTTTTTGATCATTTGAAATGTATTGATTAAGCGAGTTTCAAGAAAGTTGGTTTGAGCACAAAATCAATGCTTGAGCATGAGAACGGTTTTATAAATATATACGGGCCTAGCCCTTTAACAACGACGCCTTTGAACCGGCAGAGGTCGCCCATTAAGTGACGTCACTTTATGTTATAGTTATCATGACATACTTTAAAAAGACGTTTCACGAGCATAAACAAATTGTTTTGTTCCAGTGTGCATTGAAGCCACGCAATCAATCAATGTTCTGATATAATTGATGTTGTCAATGGTATTACATGGCTTTTTTGAAGTATGTTTGTGATCCACCAAGTGTTTTTCAATTGTAATTGTTATGATGTTTGATATTAGTTGACCTTGAATCACTTCATTAAATGGAATACACATGTACACGCAATTTGGTTTAGTTTGAATAGGAGAAGGGACTAGCTGATGGACCTTTATTAAACCCACTCATATGTTCGAAAACATATTAACTTTTGTTATCTAAGTAACATATCATGTCTCCCTACCCAATCTGTCTTTTGTTAAACACGATCATATTTCATTAAAAGGATTCAGCAAGAAAGTGTATCAAATTTTCATTTATGCATGCATGTGATATTACAAAAAAACAGATATTTCGCTTGATTTAAGCTAGAAGCATATATATCAATATTTCAAATCAATTTGTATTTCTATTAAAACCAATCTATTTTATTTACATTTTGCAATATAAGATATATATTGGTATTTCACATCCATCTGTGTGTTTTTTTTTTTTTTTTTTTTATATAAAACGATCCATTTCATTTAGAGTTTGCATCATAAATGTATATCAAAACATAGATTTATACCCAACTGGAACAAGTGAGAAGTTGTAGATCAATTGGTTCTTTTAACACAGCGAAATACGCATGTTTTCCTCGCAATACACTTCCCTGTGTTACACTACATGCCATACGACTCGGCGTAGTGGTTCATTGTACTTACTTCTATAGTTGTTATTACTTTTGTCATTGGCAGATAGCATTACAAAGTATTATGCTTCAAATTTATTTCTTCTTAACTTTTGCATATTGCCGGAAGCTTGACGAAAATTGAATTAAAGGATAGCAATAGAAAATCGAGAAGTCAGTAGAAGGAAAATAAGAAGTTGAAAGAATTTAACGCTGAAACTCATTTAATTTAACAGCTTCTTTGAATATCGCACTATGTCATTCTAAATTCGTCAAATTACGGCTTAATTCTCGCTAACAAGATTTATTTCGCTTCTGGTAGGTTTCTTTGGCTGAGGAGATCTATTCATTCAATTACAACTCGTTAGATAGCAGCTTCAGGAATGCTGTTGCTACCATTATGAGGTCCATCAAGCTCTGTTCTCCTCGATCGAAGAAGAACGAACCTGACATCCCCCTGGGGGTGGGGGGTTGGGGGTGGAGGTGATATACACATCGTAATCAATTGCCGAGGTTTACGCATTTTCTGGTTGGGTGGTGAAGTGGATAGCGCACTTCCCTTTTCACTAAGATGGCCGGGGTTCGATTCCCCGATCGGACGTGAAAGGTATGGTGTCATCTTCCCGATCACGTGGGTTTTCTCCGGGTACTCCGGTTTCCTCCCACACTAAGATCCCCGCGCACTAACAACCGGGCCAACAAGAGTGATTCAGAAAGTTGACATAAAAATTTTCATAATTTTTGAAATATAAATAGTGTTTCTTACTGTAATAGAGTTTCGAGCAGTTATGTCTGTATTGTATTTTATGACATCACTTTTTTTTAAATTTATATTGAGATTTACATATTTTCATGTATATTTTGAACAGAGATTAAATTGATCGTGAATTTAAATGTGTTGAGAATATAAATTCAGACATTTTGTTGTTTTTACAGATTTAAGTTCTCGTCCATAATTTATAAAACACGTAATAATACCCTTAAAATAAAGCAAAATGCAATGTTACTGAACACATGTCCAATTGTATGTGCAGTATTTTGATTGATAACAAAAATTGACATACACGTATATTCCTCTGATAAGAACCACAACGCTGACATGATAGCTCAATGCATAACGGGGCTGCGGTGGCCAAGTGGTTAAGGCGTCTGACATTCTGCTAACACTAGCCCTCCACCACTGGGTCACGGGTTTGTTACCTACGTGGGGCAGTTGCCAGATTGGATTGTGAGACAGCTTTGTTACTAGAAATATTTGGAAAAGTAAAAAAGGTAACACGGCTGAAGAGTGAAACAAACAAATTAGTGTTGTCTTGATTAACGAAATTTGGTAATGGGACAACCAGATTAGTGAAGGCTGGACTAACAAGGCCGAATATTTAGACAACCAGATTTGTGGTGCTTGATTAACGAAGCCGGATAGTGGGATAACGAGATTAGTGAAGGCTTGAAGTACAAAGCTGGATAGTGGGATAATCAGATTAGTGAAGGCTTGATGTACGAAACTGGATAGCGGGATAAGCAGATTAGGGTAGGCTTGATGTACGAAGCTGGATAGTGGGATAACCAGATTATTGAAGGCTTGATGTACGAAACTATATAGTGGGATAACCAGATTAGTGAAGGCTTGATGTACGAAGCTGGATAGTGGGATAACCAGATTATTGAAGGCTTGATGTACGAAACTGGACAGTGGGATAACCAGATTAGTGAAGGATTGAAGTATGAAGCTGGATAGTTGGATAATCAGATAAGTGAATGATTGATGTACGAAACTGGATAGTAGGATAACCAGATTATAGTGAAGGGTTGATGTAAGAAGCCGGATAGTGGGATAACCAGATTAGTGAAGGCTTGATTTAGGAAACTGAATAGTGGGATAACCAGATTAGTGAAGGCTTGATGTACGAAATTTGATAGTGGGATAACCAGATTAGTGAAGGATTGATGTACGAAACTGGATAGTGGGATTACCAGATTAGTGAAGGCTTGAAGTATGAAGCTGGATAGTGGGATAACCAGATTAGTGAAGACTTGAAGTACGAGGCTGGATAGCTGGATAACCAGATTAGTGAAGGCTTGAAGTATGAAGCTGGATAGTTGGATAACCAGATTAGGGTAGGCTT